GTTTTGTTCTCCGTAGCCCTGTCATCTGTGCCTGCCACAGTGTAGGTGCCCAATAGTGAATTGTTGATTGATTGAATGAATAAATGAATGGCATATTTCACTGGCAATTTCTGGTTTTCTACTTAATTATATTTACTGAATTTTTTGTTGTTGTTATCTTATTAAATAGTGAAGAGGGAACTTGGTACTAAAATGTGTGGTTTCTAATTGGTTCTAGTTTTAATATTAAAAAACGATATCGTGGGGAACTGTTTTTTTTTTCCCTGAGGGGAATCATCTCAAATTATAAACTTATTTTAGGTGATGGGAGGAAGCATTTGTCAATCTTGGGAATATAGTGACATGTATATCTTTATTGGTCAAGGTTCTTTGTCAGAAATGTCAACTCATGTTTTTAAAAAGTATTTCATCTAATTTACTTTTAGGAAAGTTTTGTTTAGATGTATTTGAAGTGTACATATCATAAGGTAATAGAAATAACCAAAAGCTAGAAAATTAGAATAGTTTGACACAGATCCAAGTGTAATTTTTCATAAAAAAGCAAATATTGATCTTCTAGTTTTTCGGAGAGACACCAAAACTAGAGACTTCAATAAATAAAATATCAACCTTGTTTATTAAAACTATAAAATGTTATTACTAGAGTGAAATGCTACATTTCATTTTTTAGCCTATATTTGAATATTAGGTTATCTCTTAGATTTCTTTCAAATGTATCCCCACCATAGAAAGTGATTAATTTTTTTCCAAGTATTCAAGTAATATCTACTTATTGCGAAAAATATGTATATGAAAATGAGATAAATACTACCAGGAGAATTAAAATTCACCCGTAATCCTACCCCTCAGGTGTAGCTGCTGTTAACATTCTGAAGTATATTTTGATGACATGCATAATATCATCATATATACTTGTGTGTGCATGTGTATATGATTTTACATATAATTTTATTGTGGTAAAATATATTTAAAAACTTTCCATTTTAACCATTTTTAAGTGTATAGTAATTTAGTGATATTAATTACATTCACCGTGTTGTACAACTATCACCACATCTATTTCCAAAAGTTTTTCATCACCCCAAACACAAACTCAGTACTCCTTAAGCAATAATTCCCCATTCCTCCCTCTCGCTAGCCCCTGATAATCACTAATCAACTTTTCTGTTTATGTATTTGCCTGTTCTACATATTTCATGTAAGTGAGATTATACACTGTTTATCCTTCTGTATCTGACTTATTTCACTCAGCATAATGTTTTTAAGTCATCCATTTCGTAGCATGTATCACAGTTTCTTTTCTCTTTTTGGCTGAATACATGCATACTTTTTATAGCCCGATTTTTTAGTTGATAGAATATCATGAGTTATTTTTCCATATCAATAAACATAGATCCATATTGTCATTATGAATCAAGCATAGTATTGTAAGTGTGGTATTTTCTTATAAGTCTGTACTATTCTTGTATGTATCTGACGTTTGGTTTTATTGGTTTGTTTTTCCCTACAAGAAATAATACTTTTATTCTTACATCTTTGTATACCTATCTGATTATTTTCTTAAAGACTTAGGTGTAGAATTGCTGGGTCAATGCGACATGTACTTCTTTTTCCGAACGCTTTTGGTATAATTGTAAAATTACTCTTTAGAAAGATCACACCCACTTTATATTCCCTTTCCCCCAAATCTCAACCCAGTCCTAGACGTGATGGGTAAAAAATCTTATTATTTTGGATTTCATTTCTTTAAATATTTCTGAGGTTGACAGTGTCATAAAACAACATGTGTACTACTGTTTCATGAGAAACTATTTGTTCTGTAAGCCTTCACCTGAAGTACAATAAAATATAAAAAAAAAGAAAAAAAATATTTCTGAGGTTGAACATGTTTTCAAATATTCTGTGAGAGTCACCTGTTCACATACTTGCCTGTTTTTCTGTTGGAATGTTCCCTTATGGCTCTACAAATGCTTTTTATAGTCTTCATAAAAGACATGTTATTGTATTTGATAAATTATTTTCTTCTCTGCATGTATGTCTACGACACTAAAAACTAAATAGGGTTAAGGGACTTGATTTTTTTCATTTAGACCTTTCTCTTTTTCTCAGTAGTAGATGTACCATTCTCATAAATGTATAAAAACATTCAGACTTACTCTGGACTTACTGTATTGTGTGTGCGTGTGTCCTGACTTTTTCAAGGAATATTACTCTAACAGAAAAACTGAAACCAGCATTGCAACAGATGTTCAGCAGCAATACAGGGACAAGCAAAATCCAGTGCTGACATATTTTTCTGACTGTTGCTGCTGAATTTAGTCTCTTTAGGAACTTGACGTTTTTAACGTAGTAATCTGTGATCTATGTGATCTCACCTCCACGCCCATCCATATGAGAAGTGAGTTGTCTAACCTTGGGCTTATTTATATTTATTTTCAGAGCATTCACATATTGGAGAGGACTGCTTCCTCTAGCACGGAGCCCTCTGTAAGTCGGCAGTTGCTAGAACCGGAGCCGGTCCCCCTCTCCAAGGTCAGTGACAGAATATCATCCTTTCTCAGAAGGCACAATGCCTGCTCTAGGACCTGTTGAAGTGTAAATACCCTTTATACCTGGCTCCCCTAATATAGCTATGAAGCCAGTAACAAGGTTGGTCTTCCATTTCTTTCTGCCCCCAGTATATAGGGGTTCTCTGCTTTGGGCTAGGAGGCAATAGATGAACGTACATTTTATTGGCATTTTCAGGGTTACATCCAAAGTCCAAAATTCTCATTATTTGAAAGGAAAAAGGCAAAAGACCCTATTGCCGTTCCCTGTTGGAGAGATGAGCAAATATTTTTATGCAAAGCTAACAGAAAAAGATCACTGAGTCTTGTAATAAAAATAATAATGGCAGCTACCATTTATGGGCCATACACTGCACACCAGGCACTATGCTAAATGCTTAAATACATTATCCCATTTAATATAATCCTGTGAACAGCTCCATGCTGTTTACACATACAGAACAGAGAGTTCGAAACTTTCCCAAAGTTATCCAAAGCTATTAAGTAGCAAAGCAAGGATTCAAAGTTAGATTTGTTTAATTCTACAGCCAGTGCTTTTAAGCTCTACACCACCTGCAAGGTAAAATAGTCCCCACACAGGGGGCCTGTTGAACATTCAGAATTCTAGTTTCCTTCTCACATTTGGCCTTCCTAGGATGAGAAGAGTATTTATTAAGACCTTGTTCCTTTCATGGAAGCCGGTGTTCCCTCCACTTCAGCCTTCTCTTCCTAGGACTAAGGAAACATCTAAATGCTTTTCTGCATAAAACACAAAAATCATGAAGAAAAGCTGAGGGAACTCTAAACACCATCCTGTTCATCCCCACCCCATCACTGACTCCCAGAGATGTTCGATGGCCTGACTACCTTATCAAGGAACTCTGAAAATACATGTAAATTTTGAGTTCAAATATAAAAATAGTACTTTATTTCCAAAGATAGTTAATATCTTACTATGTTATAAATGATCATTCCACTTTGTTTTTCCAATATTACATATAATCCTTTAAGAAAAAATAGTATAGTACCCTAATGTTGTAGAATGTATACACTTGCATCTCTTTATACTTTAAAGACATTATAAGCTATAAAGTTTATTCTATCAGATGGAATAAGGTGCTAATCTAAAGAAAAGGGTGTTATTGAACTCTAAAAAATAATTTAGAGAGAAATAAAAAAGATGGTCTGATCATTTCCATTTGGATAACAAATAATGTCTGCTTGGTAAATATTAACTAGTAATCTCGTTGAAACCTCAGTTTTATCTTATGGTCAGTTAAGGGAGAAAGAGAATAAATAAACATATGCATAATGGAAAAGATAACTAACATTTATTGAATACCTACTATGTACCAGGCACTGGATTAGTACGTGCATTCTCTCACTTAGCATACAACTCAAAGAAGTGGATATTGATATTATTGTCATTTTACTGATAAGGAATCAGAGACTTGGAGTATAAGCAAGTTGTCCAGAGTCAGATAGCTGGGAAGTGTGTGACAATTAGAGCAGAGGGAAATAGAGACCACGATAGTGAGAGATACAGAGAAAAAAGTGTTTTAAATTTTTCTATAATAGTAAAAATGCATATTTGACTCAAGTCAAATACAGTAGTCCCCCCTTATCCGTGGGTGATACATTCCAAGACCTCCCGTGGATGCCTGAAACCACAGATAGTACTGAACTCTATGTATACTATGATTTGTCCTATACATGCATACCTGTGAGAGTTTATTTTATAAATTAGGCACAGTAAGAGATTAACAACAATAACTACTAATAAAATAGAGCAATTATAACAATATACTGAAATAAGTTATATAAGTGACGGAGTGGGACAGCATGAGATTTCCTCATGCTACATACTCATTTAATATTTTCGAACTACGGTTGACCGTGGGTAACTGAAACCGTGGAAAGAGGAACCACGGATGAGGCAGAATACTGTACTGACATTACTACATTAAGGCTTTTGACTCTGTTTCTATTATAATTAATGTAGGAAAGTGGGAGACTTTTGAGCAGAAAATTATTGTCAATTGAAATTACCCCTGCCTTGGGCTGGGTTCTCTAGAGGAGCAAAACCAGGGAAGCATGCACATGCATACAAGTATACGAGAGAGAGTTATCTCAAGGAAATGGTTCATGTGGTTGTAAAGGCTGGCAAGTCCCAAGTCTGTGGATCAGGCATCAGGCTGGAGGCTTCTCCTGACTCACGTAGCTACAGGAGCTGAGGAGCCCAAGATCGGCAGGCAATATGGCTGGCCACCGGCTTAAGTCCCAAGAACTGGAGGTCAGATGATGACGAGCCAGATGCAGGATCCAGAGCAAGCAAGGAAGCTGTGCCAGAACATCCATCTATATATTGGATGCAGGCCACACCCCTGAGGAAAGCCCCTTACAACTGATTGGCTGATTACAGCATGGAAGATGACTACATCATTACATAACTGCCAAACCACATCGTTACATAACTGCCAAAGCACTGAGAATCATCGCCCAGCCAAGGTGACACACAACATTAACCATCACAACAGCCCAATTTTTTTTCTCAATTTTCAGAAAGGGATTTTAGCTTTCTTAAGCTGGACCTGGTTTACTAAGCATAAACCCATTGCCATCAAGTTGATTCCAACTCATAGCAACCCTATAGGACAGAATTTCCAAGGGAATGGAGCCCTGGTGGTGCAGTGGTTAAGAGCTCAGCTTCTAACCAAAAGGTCAGCAGTTTGAATCCACCAGCCGCTCCTGAAACACTATGGGGCCGTTCTGCTCTGTCCTGTAGGGTCACTATGAGTCAGAATCAACTCGATGGCAACGGGTAATCTTTACAGAAGCAGACTGCCACATCTTTTTCCTGCAGAGCGACTGGTGGGTTTGAACTACCAACCCGTTGGTTAGCAGCTGAGCACTTAACCAGGGCTTCTTTTACCAAGCATAGAGGGGAAGAATTTGAACATAACAGAAGATAGAACAGAGAACGTTCTATCTTGTATTTGTAACATTATCAGCATTTATAATTAAAATAGGGAGAATGTTGTTTGCCCTGGTTTTATCCTTCGCCTCTTTGTCAGGCTGACAGCTTATTTAAGTGTAAGTACTATATTAGAATTCTTTTCAATTTCTTTTGCTGGGCTTTAGAAATACTGCATCAGAGAGAATAGAAATATTTGCTCAGAGCTGCCGCATTTATGCTTAAGAAAAAGTTTTAACTTGCCGTTTCAGTCTGATCCCTCCTTTTTCCTCTGCAGTTAAACTTCCGTAGAAGCAAACAAACAAACACTGTGACAGAAAGCAGTAGCTGTAGCACCACAGGGACAAGCTTTTATTACATTCTGAATTTAATTAGAAAAAAATTTTTGAAAGCATTTGGACTTATTATTGTTCCCATTTGCACAGATTAAACAGAGTATTCTTCATCACACACACATAAACACGGAATAAATTGAATATGAACGATAGCCTTCAAATAAGACCTAGCCAGAAATAAAAATGCTATTCTTGTAGAGATGCTTTATGTGGATGGGGCCACTAAATACAGAAATGCTATTAAATATCGCTGTTCTCTCTCTAAGAACTGAGAGACCACTAATGAATATACTTACACATATATGGAGAATTTTAATTTCTTGATTATACTAAACCTTTAAAAGGAAATTGGTAAACATTAGCCATTTGTATAGAATAGTTGTCTACTTTCTGGTGAGAGTAAAAAGCCAAAAATATTGGACTTTTCATTAACACCTACCATTTTCTCCTACAGTATTCAGAAGCAGGGTTACTTGCAGAATTGCAATTCAGTATTAAAAAATGGGGATTTCAAAGCTGTCCACTTAACCTGCACTTATAAAGTATTGTCCAAAAACTTGGTGTAGTGCCTGAAATGTCTTATCAGAAACATACGAAACCAAAAAAAAAAAAAAAAAAATCACTTTATCTAATTAGCAGTTTTGACCAGATCAATCATAGTTTATGATAGAGTATCTCTAAGTAGAAAACCACTTCCTGGGTTCTTTTCTTATTTACAGACTCTTTAAAGATTTACAGACCCTTTAAAGAATTTTTAATGTAGCCAAATGAACACGGATAGATGTGTTTCTACATATAGTTGAGCCATTAGGGTCCCCTCAGGGATGACCAAGAAGATGAAGATGGGAGGAGATGTGGAAAGATGGAGCCATGATGCTGGGTTTAGAGAGCTTTTCAGAGTCAGGGCCATATCCTACTGTTAATATAAACGTTAGAATGAACCAGTGTCTGGCCACATCTCTTGGAAACAAAATTTTATACAAAAACCCCATCCCACTTCCACATATTTGAATTTAAACATACAGATTTGACTTGGACAGAGGGTAAGCAGCTTCCGTGATAAGAGGAGGGGATGGTGAATACACAGCCCTCTCCCTTCCTGCCGCCAGTGTCAGTAATGGATTATGGCACCTTTGCCTCTGAGGCTTGTCAGAGCCTTTCAGCAGCAGATCCATCTGCCCTGAGTTGAAATCCATCAGCCATTCCTATTGAGGCCCTTATTTTATGGTCTAGGGGGATAATTTCTGATAGAATGTATTTTTTCAGAAGGCAGTTTCCCACAACAGTTTGGGATAGGGCATTCTGCAGGAGGCCTGCTCTGATCCGTGAACACTGTGTCCAGCTTTCAGCGGCTGAGATAGTAGAGCAGATTACACTGAGAGGTTTTGCCTCCCTGCGTTGAGGGCAGGACTCTAGCAGTTGTACATGGGATGTGAAAAGGTGTTGTTGGTCCTGCCTCGGGAGCCACAGCTTCTGCTTAATTGTTAAACGAGCTTCATCATGGTCCTGAATGTCACTAGATGTACCTGGGGTCTAGACTATGGGCTGTTAGGGTGTCTGATGGGCCAGTGGTTGTTTTAGCACTGCATGGGACCTTAGAAATCACCTCCTAGGGTTAAAACTCAGAGTGTCACTAAGGGCCAGGTAGATAATAGGGAAGCAGTCCTTTTGGGGACTGTGGCAAACTGAAGATGGGTTGCCTTTACTTGGGGCAGGCCCTGAGTTGCCAGATTTGATAGGCTTTCAAAAAACACTAAAAATTTGGAGTTTTCAGAGTCTGAAATTTTATTTTCAAATGTTGGCAACTCATTAAAAGAAATTAAAAAACTCTGTAGCTGAACAGCTCATGTATAAGTCTTGCAGATGAGATTACCATAATTTAGTCATGGTTGTGAACAGCAGAAGGTGATGGTGTGGACTCTGGAACGCAAGATTTCTGGCCTTGCAGTCTGGTTCTTTTTCAGAGGCTCCCAGGGGTGTGTGTGTCTCAGGATGCCTTCAACGCCTTAACTTCTTTGTGCGTGTTTAGCGAGTGGGGCATTTTCTGTGCATGCTGGAAGGCACGCAGCCTCACCAAGAGGAAACAGATGACTAAGCGTTGCATTTCAGTGTTAATAGCAGGTTACGAGGCACTTTAGACCTGCGGTAACCTTTCCATTACTAAACAGAAAGCCAGATCCACACAGTTAATTGAACATTTATCTTCAAAACAGTCTTATTTTGAAACTTTTAAGTGTCTCTGTGCCCAGAGATTAACTGCCTAGAAAAATGTGTTTTAACATTCTGAGTACAGGTAAATCGAAATTCCATTCTTCTCCAAGTAGATGTGGTAGCTCCGAGTCTCCAGTAGACCCCGCACGCCTGCAGGTCTACCTGAGAAACTCATTTTAACTTCGATTAAAAGTGCATAACTGGGTCTGACGTTAGAGTTTGTCCTGGAATGTTGTTCATACTTTTAGTGGGTTAAGTGTTGGTTCAAAAGCAACTTCTCCTTAAAAATCTGCTGGATGTGAAGCACATAGAAACATGTGACTTGTTTTTCTCCTTTCCTCTTAGGAAGCTGACAGCTGGGAAATTATAGAAGGGCTGAAAATAGGCCAGACCAATGTCCAGAAACCAGACAAACACGAAGGCTTTATGCTGAAGAAAAGAAAATGGCCTTTAAAAGGTTGGCACAAGGTAAAATTTTAATCCCATCCATGTTCAAATCGTGTTCAGTAATAGAGAGGATCTTATTTAATATTGCTAGGTAGGAAACCCAGAGTATGGTTGTATGTGTAAAACTAATTTTCAAGGCCTTATCATAACCATATGGGCTGCAACATATTATACCTACTGAAGTCATCTGTGATATAATATGTATGCAGAGAAAAATATTTTATATGATATTTAAAATCCAGTTTTAGATGTATTTAAAATCAATTTTGTATGTATTGTTTTATAATATTTTTTCACTTAAATTAGTATGAATATGTTTTCATGCTATCAAATATTCTTCCAAATATGAGATATTTTTAAGTGCAGGCATGTATTTTGTTGGATTGTTTATCCCACCATTGATTTGATCCGTTCTTTATTGCTGGGTATGTAAGACCTGATTAATTTTTTACTATTACAGCGTTGTGGTAAGCATCTTTATACATGAATGTCTGTTTAGTTACTTGATATGAGTTCCTAGAATTATTGTTGCCACTGCAATCTAATCTTGGAAAATCACTGATCTGAAAGCTTGTTTACTGCTCTTTGAAGTATGTGGTTTATTCCTCTCTCATTCCCCCTACATCCTTTTTCTGTGTCCCAGTTTTAATTATGGAGAAAATATTTTTACTACATTGTTGCAATTACTTGAGCAAGAATTCTGTAATCCTGAGAAAGAGAAGGAGAAATTGGTTGTTCAGTGGTAGAATTCTCACCGTCCGCGCCAGAGACCTTGTTCGATTCCTGGCCAATGCACCTCTTGCACAGCAACCACCCATCTGTCAGTGGAGGCTTGCATGTCGCTAGGTTGCTGAACAGGTTTCGGTTCCAAACTAAGACAGACTAGGAAGAAAGGCTTGGTGATCTACTTCTGAAAATAAGCCACAGAAAACCCTATGGATCACGATGGTCCGATCCACAACCAGTTGTGGGGATGGTGCAGGACATGGCAGCATTGCGTTTTATAGTGCATGGGGTCACCATGTGTCGAGAGCTGACTCGATAGCAGCTAATAGCAACAGCAACAAGAAAAAGTCACCTTCAATTTTCAATATAAACCCTTTGATAGACCATTCCATCTCTTCTATGAAATCACTAGAGGAATAATCCCTCCACTTAACATATCTGTTCTTTATTGTTACATTCAAGGCATATGGCTATGGATTATAACCTCCTTGAGGAAATATATTTTTTGTTCTTTAAGGGAAAGACCTAAAACTAGACGGATGGAAAATGTTGCCTCACTCCTCTGTCTCCAAGGGTGGAATGAAAATAGTCAAAGAAGCTTCTGACTAATGAGCCATCTCTCTCCACTTTTGTTCTTCCTTGGATTTTGGCCCACCTGGCCATTCTCCTTCCTAGGATCACCTTTGCCTTCAACTCTGACCATACCACTTTGTAATTTCTCTGATCAAAGGCCTTGCTAGTCTTTGTTTTCCAGTGACCATCCTATAGGTTATCTCTGCTAAGATTCTTTGATAGAAATGGATAAATGAGAAGGAGGTCAGAGAAACAAGTTTCATATCAATCACTCACTGTAATTTAGTGCTCTAAATCTATGTTTCAGCAAAACTGGCTGTGTTTCCCTCCACCAGACTGAGTCCAGTGCAGCTAGATGGTGTCCAGCTACCACCGCTGACTGCTCTGACCGGGATCACAACAGAGGGTTCTGGGCAGAGCTGAAGAAGGATGTAGAACAAAATTCTGACTCACAAAAAAAAAAGACCAGATTTACTGGCATAAAGGAGATTGGAGAAACCCTAAGAATATGGCCCCCAGACACCCTTTTGGCTTGGTGGTGAGGTCACTTCCGGGGTTCACCATTCAGCCGGGGAGTGGACAGCCCCATAGAACCAGGTGGGACTGATGAGGCACAGCAGTCCAGGGACAAGGACTGGAAGGCGGAGGGGGACAGGAGAGCTGGTGATAGGGAACCCAGGGAACCCAGGGATAGTGTTGATGTGTTGTGAGGTTGTTGACCATTGTCATAGGGCAACACGTCTACTAACTGATGAGAAACTGTTTTGTTCTGTAAACCTTCATCTAGAGTGAGAATGGCAGCACAGTTGGAAGAGCGTAGTCGATGTTACTGAACTGTGCATGTAGAAATTTTTGAAATGGTGTATCTTTGGCTATGTATATTTTCACCAAAAAAACAAAACAAAACAGAGAGGTCGAGAAGGGAGAGGGTTGACATGTCATGGGGTTGTTAGCTGATGTTGTGGAACAATGTGTGTACTGCTGTTTCATGGGAAACTATTTGTTCTGTGGACCTTCACCTGAAGTACAATAGAAAGAAAAAACTAAAAAAAAAAAACTGGCTTTGTTTTAACAGCAGCTCTTTCTGTATCATGTCTTTAAATATTTTGCTACCTAAATAACAGGAGGGTTTCCCTTGTATAGGGAGTGCCTGGGTGGTGCAAACAGTTAAGTGCTCACCTACTAGCCAGAAGGTGTTTCGGTCCCATTCAGAGGTGCCTTGGAAGATGGGCCTGGCAATCTGCTTCTGAAATGTCACAGCCTTGAAAACCCTATGAGCAGTTCTACTCTGCACATGCTGGGTCTCCCTGAGTCAGAATTGACTTGACAGCAACCAGTAACAACAAAGTCCCTTGCATTGCCTTTTCTCCTGGTCTCTAATGCTGCCATGTGTTTATTCAAGCCTCAGCCCATTTGATTGCCCAAGTCATGGGCAGCTGAGTGATCAAGTGTTTTTTAACTAGTGATTCTTTCTTCCTGTGCTAACTTGTTGCCTCCCAGAACCTGTAGCAGAGGCAATAGAGTGGCCTTCTCTGAGCTCTATGCAGGTGTCCTCGCCCCTGACTGCCAGCCACCTCAGCAGTTAAGAGCTTCTGAATCGAATAAAAACTTTCCAGCAGAGCGATTTACCAGCACTAGAAAGACTCCCTGCACTGTAGATAGTAGAAGAGGGCACCAGACCCACTGCATGGTTAGGCCCTGAGAGCTGTTGTTCTGCTGTGAATTGTCTGGGTGAAGGAAATCAACAGCAGAGAGCTCCTGAGTGGATGCTGAACAAAAATGGCAACATCTGCTTATATTTGACCAGGAGCACCTGGGAGGAGACAAAAACTACCAAAAATATTTTCTTAATTCTTGATGTAGTTCCGAAATAATTTTTAATCTGTTTTGCTAATAGTGAGATGCATGCGTTTGCTAAGTGGAGATAGTTGCTTATTGCTAACGCCACTTCTTAAACTTTCCAGATAATTCAGTATTCTATAATGGACGTGAGCATTTTCATGTGTTACCCATGGTGCCAGGGGAAGTTCAGGAGTTCACCTCCAGGGTGAAAAGTTCCGTGTAGATGAACTTCTCATGGAATCACCCTGTAACCTAATCCAGATTATTCTTTCTACACTTGCCAGGACACAAGGCATTTAGTTTTTAGTTTTATCTGCTCTCTTCTTTCTCAGTTTCAAAAATATCCCAATGTGGTTAACTCAGAAGGTTTCAGATGCAGGCCCTGAGATTTCTTCCCTGTTGAAAAAAACCACAGTTTAAAGGTTCCTTCCCCAGTGGATTATGTGTAAAAAGAACCTAGTGGATTAATAGTATGGGAATAAAGCTCTGGTCTCCTTACCATTTAGTGTGACAGACTGTGTCCAGGTGCACTGGATACAAATACATTAAAATGATTAAACATATTGATTACTGAATGCCAGGCAACATTAGATGCACATTTGTGAATGTTATGTATAATTCAAAATACAGACAGTAACTGTGGGTTGTTTGTTCTTGCAGCGCTTTTTTGTCCTGGATAATGGAATGTTAAAGTATTCAAAGGCACCGCTTGATGTAAGTAGCACACAGGACATTTTCCAAAGACTGATTTAGAATTCTGCTTGAAGCGAGTAAATACCATAATTGTACAAGCTTTGTGCTGTAGTTACCAGCTTTGTGCATTTCTATACCTGTAACGTTTAACAAGCTACCAAACCTCCATGTTCCATACAAGGCATGTTTTATGCTTATAGTCAACTAGTGTAAAATCTCAAACTGGCGCATGAAGATTTAATTGAACTCTCGTGATGTATGTTATTAAAAACAAGCTTGAACCCTAAAAGTGATGGATGACCCTTTCTCTCTCAAAGACAAAACCCAAATAGGCTGTTTTCAGCATCTCTCAATAAACTGTGCTTTGCCTGCTTTTTTTTTGATTTAAAGCAATCTTTGTTCGTTGTCCATGTCCTTTTAAAACCTGTCTTTTGAACTTCATTTCTATTTTATACATCCTTATTTCTTTGGAGTTCCAACTCACTAAAATTATTCCAAATTATTTGTCTTTGATATAATAAGTAGTTATTTGCATGCCAAACTAGAAATTTCCCTCATTGTTATCATTGTGGTGTAGAGGAAAGAATAGAGGACTCAGATTTAGGTTTTGTCCCCATCTCTGTCTTTGAATCAGCTGTATGTCCTTGATCAGAAGGGGACAGCTAGAAGCTAGAGCCTGCTGCTCTGTGCTCTCTGGTCCCAGCTGCCCAGTTCTGCCCCAGCAGCTGTCACCAGTTGATTACTCAAGGATGTTCTGTGTTGTCGGTCAAAGATTGGCCATTGTTATTTTAGGAACCACTAAAGATGTTTTTCTGGGATGTAAACTGTGCAATCTATAATTATGAAGAATTGACATTATAGATTATGCCAAAAATAGGAATAAGAGATGAACAATTACTTATTGAAATTGGTATGAAGTCACTGCAACTTCACCTGTCCTCAAATTAAGAGAACCTTAACCGTTTCCTCTTTTTAAAGAAGGTGTCATATTCTAATTTCCATAGATATGTTAAAGATTACACTGAGGTCACTCAAATTAAACCTGGAAACACATCTAATTATATATCTGTCCAGCCTATTGACTAGTCTTTTGATTTCAGATTCAAAAAGGGAAGGTCCATGGGAGCATCGATGTTGGCCTCTCGGTCATGTCAATTAAAAAGAAAGCTCGGAGAATAGACCTTGACACAGAAGAGCACATCTATCATTTGAAGGTGAAGGCACTTTTCAGCAGTTTCTCTGCCATTATCAAGGGAAATCACTTGCGATGTCAGTGGTAATCAGGAGGTTGGTTTCCCAATTACTTTCTCCTCTTGTTCTTTGTTTTAGGTAAAATCCCAGGACTGGTTTGATGCATGGGTCTCCAAACTACGCCATCATCGATTATATCGTCAGAATGAAATTGTGAGGTCACCAAGAGATGCTAGTTTTCACATATTTCCTTCAACCTCCACAGCTGAATCCTCACCAGCTGCTAATGTTTCCATTGTGGATGGAAAGGTATGACTTTGTTCTGCTGAAGTTGTTTAAAAAATTATACAAATATAATCTTTGGCTGGGTATATTTTCACCAAAAAAGAAAGGTCCTCCAAGGCTGAGAAGGGAGCGTGTTGATATGTCATGGGGTTGTTAACCAATGTCATAAAACAACATGTGTACTAACTGTTCAATGAGAAAATATTTGTTCTGTAAACCTTCACCTGAAGTACAACAACAAAAAAAAGCATCCTGAAAAAAAAAAAAAGTATACAAATATATAATTGAGTCTCATGTGAAAAACCAGAAGGAGAAGGTTTACTTTGTAAACTAACCCTCAGAAGACGATAGTGGCGTATGGCATCAGAGTTAATCACAAGAATAGATTAGGCTGAAATGTGGATCACCAAGAGAATTAATGGTTACTTTCCCTTTCTATAATTTTATGTGGCTTTGTAGGAATGTCAGGAAACAATCAGCACCCAGAAATTGGGTGCCTTCCTGGGTGGTAATAAAGAGCTGAAGACGCCAAAGTTTTGAAAATGAAACTTGCTTTTCTGCCTTGAGCTGTAATATACTTGTGACCCAGAGAGAGAGAGTGAATTTGCCTGCAAAGTTAATGTGAGTAAGCTAGAGAACAGGACAATAATATTAGTAGCCCATGTGAGTGACCAGGCACTGTGTTAAGCATTTGATATTTGTTCATCTCTAATCTTAGCTGAAGCTCAGAGACAACAATTTGTCCAGAAATTACATAGCCACTGAACAGCAGAGGCAGAATCTGAACCCAGGGCTCTGTTTCCAGACTCAATGCCCTTTCCATTATATCAGGTGGCAGACTAACTAAAGGAGGCTGAAGTTGTTCTTTGGACTGTAATAAGAGCATTTTTTATGGCACCGAAAAGATAGAGATGGTGCCTGTTAAAAAGTCATGGTTATGACAACAGGCTAGGAGACGGCTGTTTCCGCCATTGATTCAGTGGTTAAGGTTTTGCAGATATTGCCACATTGTACTGCCCAGGGGTGCTGCAGCTTCACACCTGGCACCTGGAACTGAGACTGGAGACAGCTGCAAGGGAATGAGCTGCCACAGGGAGCTGGGTTCAAGAACGTGCCCGTGCAGATTTTGCTTTTCTCTATTGACTTATACAAGAACGAATGTAATACATACATCCAGGTTTCCTTTACAAGACATTGAAAAATCTTATGGAGTAACTACTAGACTAATCAAATCAGATTACTATATTCAGTGGAAATTACTTAAGTAATTTTTGTTAAATCTCATTAATTGTATTTTGCAAGGCTTACATTTTTTCATTCTGGTTGCCAGCCTGGCCAAGGACTGTGCCTGTTTAATTATCTTTCTCCTAGAGATAGGATGTTGGATTAACCTTAAAAAGGAGGAGAGGGTTAAGAAGAGATGACACGTATAGATTCACCCATCTCACAATGCCCAAGATAGTCCCCAGTTTTCTCTGGGCCTACTATATTTGCAGCAGAGAACCAGAATAAATTTCCAGAGTTAGTCCAAATTAAATGAGAGATCCGATGGATCTTTTATAAATATAAATGTTTAATTATTGGATTTCTCCAGCTTCTCGCTGCATCTTTGGCACAGAGTGTTGATAGAAGATATATTATTTTTATTCCTAGTGTTATTTATTAAATAACTTGGGTGATATCTGAGAATGAAGAAATGCAACCAAATCTTCCCCCACTGTTTGCCTTGGAATAAGAAAGCTCTTCAACTCTATTTTCATAAAAAAATCTATTGCTCTAGTTACCAATAACATACTTCTAAGATTTAACTAAGTGATAAGATTTCTGTTACATTTATCAAAATGCAGTAAAGAGTAGAAAGAG